AAACAGTCTGCAGAGACAAAAGTAATATTCAGGTATCATAGTACCTATGAAGACCAACTGTGACGCTGATTTGTGAAGGCAGCAATCTATTTGGATCTGTCGCAGGACCAATGTTGCTTACTCACATCTTTTACTGATTTAAAAGAAAAACATTGGACTCCTATTTAATTTCATCTGATGGAGTTGGAGGACAGATTGGACTTTAGTTGTTTGAAGCATTTTTACCCACGTGCAGTCTGACCCCAGCTGTAACTTCCACTGTCCATCCAGCAATAGCAGTGATTTATCTATGTAGGTGCTGAGTTACTGTAAGGAAAGAAAGGCCCCTAATATAAAAGGGAAAGTCAGTGACCCGGACTAACAGGGTAAGTGCGACCCCGTCACATTCCTTGTCCTGTGTATGATCAGCACAGGCTAAGAGGAAGTGCTAAATACTTTTTCAATTTTATTTTTGTTTTAAATTCTCTCTAGTGCAGGAAATGGAGAAATATGTCCCTGCATACCTTTTGGAATGCAGATTATGTCTCCCTTGACCCATGTTAATAAAAACACCAGCATCTTGAGGGGTGGGGGAATGAATATTGCAGATCTTTTCAGTTTGTCTTTCCCAGCTGGTCTTTCTTACCGTGCTGAACATAGTGCAATGATGTGGCACAGGTATTAACAAAGAAAATTAAAGCATGCAAAAAGATGATACTTGTTTTGTCCTGGAATTTAGTTTCCTTTTCTTAATTGCTTAAGAGGAAAATGTTAAATATTTGTGTTTACTTTTGATATGTAGTACTACGGCCAGTGAATTCAAAACCATGGCAGAAATTTGGAGCCTGATGTTCAGAATTGCTTGTTACCTACAAGTCTGGGTCATGTGAATGAAAGCTGCAGGTATTTAGTACTTCCGAATGTCAAATTTCTTTCCCTTTCCATGCAGACATTGATAGCTTGACATATTTCATGTGTCTGTACATATGCGTGTGGAAATGTGCTTGCCTATATATAATGTATAAATAGGTCTACAGTCTACCCAGAACATTTACCCAGTTCATTATTTATGTGTACTCCCTGATATAATAAGATGGTGTTCTTCTGTCCAATTAAGTGTTTATATCTTGACATTTTTTCCCTTCTTCCCTTTTTAAATTTTTTGGGGGTTTTTTTGAGTCTGTGTGTTTATTTTTAGCCTGTCTTCCTTGATGTGGGCACAGTTATGAGGTGCTGAAGATGCTGGCCACTTTATAGTTCTCATCTGACAAAATGTAAACTGAAAGCCATTGCTTGATTACGTTTCTTAAATTGTTTGCCATACCTTGTTGAGATAAAGGGGTGGCTTTGCTTTGTTTTCTTGTTTCTTATGTATTTTCACTTGGCAGCCGGGCTGCTTAATGTGCAGCAGCAGCTAGAGGAGGGTGGCACCGGGTTGGCAGCAGAGCTGCTCCAGCACCGCAGCAGGCTGTCTGCACCCCATGACGTTATGCTCTTGAGCAGCAAACAGGGCCTGGGAGCTCCCCGGTGAGCGGGGAGATTCCTAATCCTCTTCTCACTGCAAGTGAACCTGATTGATTCCAGATGTACACAGATTTAATGACTCAGAAAGCTGCTCTCTTAAAATGGGACTTACAGCACGGTCTCATGTAACCTTTCAGCGGAAGACCTGAACTCCTCTGTCAGCTTAAAATCAGTGAGGTTTTTCAGAGTTTAGTAGTGTGTGAATTTTGTGTAGGAGCAACTATAGTGTGCTCTTAGAAAGTTGGTTTTCTTTCTCTGCTGAGCAAAATGTTGTTATAAACATCATTTTGGTATGATGCACTTTTAACAGAGGAGTTGTAGCTTTAGAAAGAAGTAACACAACTCAGTGGGGTTTATTTTGACGTTATTTTTTGTGGGTTTAGTTTTAAATACAATTTAATTCTGAGTATTTTTTTTATTATTCAGCAGTTAGGAATGGGAGTATTCTCGTTTGTCTTAACTTTATGTTAAATCTCAACGTGCTGCTACTACCAATTCAGAGAGGATTCTGTAGCATGCATTGTATTTAGTATCAACCCTGCATAAGATAAATATCTTGTAACATTCCTTTGCTTACTGAAGCGATACTTTCAGATTTTGCTGATGGGTTTGATAGATGCTGATTAAGTTTTGAAGTGATTGCAAGAAGTGAGATTATGAAGTTCATGAGAAATAATTCACAGTAATAAATAGCTGGTTTATTTCTTTGCTTCCAAATACGCACTTCTGATTATTAGAAAATCCCAGCAGATGTAGTCTTCATAATTTGTCTGCTTTTCAACAGTAAACATTGAAGTTGGGGCCAAAAGGTTAAATGCTTCCAAGTACTGTCATATAGTTTTGCCATTAATTTGGTAAAAAAGGAGCAACAACTCAAATTATTTGAATCTCTCAAACTAGTTTTGCAGTGGATCCTGCACTGTGTATGCTTTTGCAAATGTTTATTTGCACTGATAGTTGACTATAAGAATAAGCCATAACGTTTAGAAAACAAAGTATCCAATTATTGGTAGAATTGGTTGGTGTCTGCAGTTTATTGTAAGTATGAAAAAGCAGGCGCTCTTCCTGGAGACTTTTATCTGCCTCATAAGAAGCTGTCATTGAACAGTAAGCCATAATTTTGGGCTTAATAAATGAAGATCATCACAAATGAAGTAAGTACAGGAAATAAATACGCTATAAATATCATGTGTTACATGGAAAAGTTAAACTCGCAATCCACAGCCATCAGCTTTAAAGCTTGAGTCGAGATGATCTTGCTCTGAACTTCTCACTCACCAGAGCCCCTGACTGCTTTGGTATGTACCTTTGGAAACCCATGTCAAGAAACTCCTTGGCAAACACAGGGAGATGGAGCCCAGTGAACTCTGCCTTTGGAGGTCTGGTGTGGCTGTGGTTGGCAGAAGATGCAGAAGGATTTACAAGCACTGCGTCCTCAGAAACCCCACTTTTACACAGATACTCGGGCCGCAGTACCAGGAGCAGGACTGGAAGAGAAGGGCTGGCAGCAGTATAAGGACAGGCTCCCTTTAAACACAGTTCTCATCCTGCACGTTTGCCATTTTCAGAGGGTTGCTGATATCATAGAATGAATCATAGAATCATAGAATGGTTTAGGTTGGAAAGGACCTTGAAGATCATCGAGTTCCAACCCCCCTGCCATAGGCAGGGACTCCTCCCACTAGACCAGGTTGCCCAAGGCCACGTCCAGTCTGGCCTTGAACACCTCCAGGGATGGGGCCTCAACAACTTCTCTGGGCAACCTGTTCCAGTGCCTTACAACCCTCAAAGTGAAAAATTTCTTCCTAATGTTTAATCTAAACCTGCCCTCTTCCAGTTTAAAGCCATTCCCCCTCATCCTATCACTACATGCCCTAGTAAAAAGTCCTTCCCCACCTCTCCTGTAGGCCCCCTTTAGGTACTGGAAGGCCGCAATGAGATCTCCCCGGAGCCTTCTCTTCTCCAGGCTGAACAGCACCAACTGTCTCAGCCTCTCCTCATAGGAGAGGTGCTCCAGCCCTCAGATCATCCTCGTGGTTCTCCTCTGGACACGCTCCAGCAGGTCCATGTCCTTCTTATGTTGGGGACTCCAGAGCTGGATGCAGCACTCCAGGTGGGGTCTCACAAGAGTGGAGTAGAAAGGCAGAATCACCTCCTTTGACCTGCTGGCCTGCAGAGGAGCAGCACGTCCCCAGCATGTTCATTCCTTCATGGAAACTAGGTGAATGAAAGGCAGCTTCGTGGGGATTTTTCCATGCCGTTGCATGATGCTGTGTGCGTATGCATCGTGCAACAGTGTCTGGCAGTGTGGGTGGTGCAAGGCTACATTTCCTTAGAGGTTCTTCCTTCTGATTGTCACGCTGGCTGTGCCCCAGAGGAAATAATTTGGAGCATCTCTCTGCTGTGTGGCTGAAGGTCTCTGCCCTTTTCTGACCAGCTACTCAGTGTTTTCCCTGTGGCACTGTCTCTGTTTCTCTGGGATGTACGAATGGTCTTAGATTCCAGTTATGATAACTGTAGCCAGTTTGATATTTTGGAAAGTTTTGCTTATATTTGCAACTATACCTCATATATTTCAGATGATGTTTTACTGTACTTTTAGTTCCTTGACCTGCAGATCTGTGCATCGATTTTCTGTTCTTCTGTGATATATCTTTAGCCTTTATTCTTTCTTGTTAGCTTGTCTTCTGGACAGACTAGTATGATTAAATGTATACCAAATATCAAATAATAAATGTGTATGTATAAATATTTATATTTTGCTCTATGTGTGCATGTCTGTGTTTGTTTTCATAATCTGTGATGACTTATTACAATAGTGTATTAATTCATGATGCACAGTTATTTTTTTAACCCAACCATTCCCTTGATATTCCACTTGTAGAAGATGGCTCCATCGTGTTAGGTCCAACATAAACACCCAAGGAAAGATTTGTCACATTCAGTGGATGGTGGTTATGATTCTCATACATTTTTCCACTTACACCTGTTTCTGGATTTTATTTGACCCTCTTTTCTGTTTGGGTTTTTTTTTTTTTTTTCTATTCATAGCATAACTCTAAGAAGATTTTCAGAAAGTTACTAGAACGTTAGAATAAGTTTTAATTATTAAGAGACAAAATGAAATACCCTGTTTATCTGAATAGGGGTGTGATATCTTGCACTTGTTGCATTTCCCTTGTCCAACCACTTTACAGTCTTCAACTATTTTATTCTCAATAAAATCGTGTTAACAATAAGTCGCATCAAATAGTTTCCCATGAGGATCATGGGGTTTCCTTACAGTCACAAAAGGCAGTGTCAGAATGAGGACTCAGGAGCTGCTCATTCCCAGTACGGCCCCCTGCACGTTGTGTTGGCCATTCAGCACACTCCTGAATTACCGAAAGCTGAGCTTTTAAGCAGTTGAGTTGTGACACTTCCATAGCAGGAATAAAGAAGGACCAGAGTGTGAAAGTTGCCCCGAGTTAAACCACTGTAATTGTTTCTGCCTACAGTGTTGATGACAGAACTGCTTACCTGGCCCTGGGAGCAGTGAGGAACATCTCACTTAACATTTCCATTTCTAACGTTGGGGATGATGCCTACGACACCAATGTTTTCTTCAATTTTTCTGGGGAGCTCTTCTTCATTAAAATGTGGCAAAAGGTAAGAAACACCAATCTTGCTGTCAGCAAGTCTCTTAACTTTAAACCAATTTAGTTGCAAGATGTAGCAACAGGGGGTGGCTGGACCACACTGCTGAGATATTTGGACGTTATTTCTGGTAATGCTGGGCTTGAATTTCTTCCAGGCTCTTTACTGAGTTTGTTTCTTTTGTGGGTTTGATCTGTGTAAATTACACCCTCTGTGTTTCTGTAGAAGACACAGAACTGTTATTTGGGGTGCACTAATGAAAAAGAAAGACTGTTTGGTTGAGGTACCAAGAGGTAGCAAAAGACTGGTTTGGAAACTAGTAGGGTACCAAACAGTGCTGAAACACAAAAGGTCCCTCTAGTTTGAGTGGTGCCACACTGAACTCAGAAGTCCTGGTTGTCTCCTGAGCTGGACTCCTGGGTTTTCTCCTCGTTGAAAGCAAGATACAAGGCTGTTCTTTGCTCATGTCCTTGTGCAAGTTTGGGTTGTGGCCAGGGGACCTCACTAGGTCCAAGAGCTCAAAAGTGCTTTTGATTTCACCTGCATGGAGTCAGGTGAATATTTTGAGCTTTAGTCTCTTTACATTTAGGTTTACATACTTGGATGTTTTCATTAGCATGACTTCATTTAGAGATAATGTTGAAATACAAATACTGATTTGAGCTTTTTACAAACTGATAGCTGCAAAAGCTTGTCTGAGTGTGAGTAATGTGAAAATAATTGTGCAAAATGGGAACTGTACAGTTGTAACAACATTCTGTCCGTTTGTTCCTGCTTTTCACAGTTGTTTGTCTCTCTGCTGGAGCTTTGCTTTGCTTTGTAATCCGTAAGAGCAATATAAAAAAACATAGTACAACTGTTGTGAAATATGGGATTAACTCGGTCCATTGAACCAGTGACATTTTGCCATTATTTGTCATGTTTTATGATAGATTTTGGTTATTATAAGCCTCTTAAATTAACTCATTACATAATAAACGAAAATATGATAATTTCTTATACATGTTAATTCTCTTGGTGTTCAGTTCTGACTATTATGTTTAATACAGCTGCAAACCTCAGAAAGTTGTCTTTGTATTATAAGCTTAATTTTCAGACTTTCAGACATTATGTGCTGCAAGTGTGCAGTTTATCAGAAGAAAAAAAGCCGGGGATAAAATAGAAATGCCTTAAGGCCAATACGCAAGTTCTTAATGGAAGTTTATGTGAAGACTTTCAGGGTCTGGCCCAACTCCAATTGAAGTCAGTGGAGGGGGGGTTCCGTTCCTTTGCACTGGAAAAGAAACACAGCTTGGTGTTACGTTCTTTTAAAAGGTTGTTGTGGTTTTTGGTTTGTTTTTTTCTCCTGTGCTTACATGTCAGTTATTTTACACACACAGATTAACTGCAGCACCAGTTGCTGTCGTTTTTTCTTCTTGGCCAGTGCTGTGAGGGAACAAGCTGAAGATGATATGCTGTTTCCCTTGGTGTTTTACCTTGAGTCTGGGTCTGTAGTAGACCTGAAACATCTGTGCTGAATGCTGCCTAGAAGGAACAGTTTCTGGAAGCAGATGACATTGTTGTAGGGTTATCTCACTACTCAGTGTGTCTTCTGCTAATAGAAATTAGCATTTCTTTAAAAAAAATAAAATACAGCATGCATCAAGGAAGCATGTAGGCTTCCTTCTTCCTCAGGTCTTCCAAACAGGTATAGTCTGCTGTTATTGCTGCTGTTCCTGTGGTTGATTTGACAGTTTGGGGTTTTTTTTCTGATAATTGGTTTAGTAACAGTTCTGAAAAGCCAAGTTGCAGCACTGTGTTGGACTATTTTACTTCATCTCAGTAAGCTTTTGCTTCAGAACAAACTAATGTACTGTTGGCCTCACCATTTGTCCAGTTGGGAAACTGGATTATGACCTCATAGCCTCAATTACAGTGTTATGTTTTCCCTAAGCTATTTGAACAGTGATTTTTCTTTTCTTTTTTTTTTTGGTAAAATATCATGGATTCCACATTTCATAACCTACTCCCATCCCTTGACATCTATACATAATATGTACTGTGTATGTACTTTAAATAGGTTTTGTTCCTGGTTGAATACTGCCCAGGCAAAAATCCAGATCATAAAGCCAGAGTAAAAATTACGATTCCTAAGATTTCCCTTAGTGGAGCAATTTCGGAATCAAAAGAGCTTCTTGTTGTGGGAAACTTTCAGCAGCAACTGCCTTTTAATGAATAACGCTAAAGTGGAAGAGAACAGTTTCTTCCATGTGGTTGCTTGATCCTTTTTCTGCAAGGTGACTATAAGAACAATGGCCGTGCGGTGGGCTTTTGTTACCTATCTCTGGAGCCCTTTTGCTGTGAATCCTGTTTCTTTTCTCTGTGTCCCCAGTGGGGACATTCCTAGCAGATTCAGTGTGGTTTTGTTTCTTTCTACAGATTGGTTACAATGAGACCTGACAGTGCAAAATTTTTTTTTTTTTTCAACAGGGTTATTGACACAAAATGCCACATTTTGTGTTTGAAAAGAAATGAATGGCTTAGCTCAGGGATGATGGTGATAGTGTTCCCTGAAGGGCGTTAGTGGAGCTAGCCCCTCTTTCCTTTCTGGAGACTGAGATTTCATGAGATGTGGTGGGTAGAGAGACTACCTGGTAGGTCTTTGCCATTTCTAGATGAGGTCAAAAAGTGTTTGCCGACTGATATTTAAGGGATTCCATGTATTCCACTGTCTTTATTTTCCTGTTATGCTGCAGCCAGTCCTCCCCAGCTTCATGGACGAAGCCCAAGGTTTTCTTTCCGTACATCCTGACAGCCAGTCCTTCTCTTGAGGCACAGTATGTGGCATGGACTGACTTCTTATTCCTGCCTGCGCTCCCTGTAGCGCTTTTAACTCTCTTGTCACTGCTCCCTGTTGAAGGGGCGAGTTGTTTTACAGGTGCATAGGAGTACTGCACTGCAGTGAATTTCATAATGTGTCCACTAAGAAAAATATTCCGTTTGAAATACGAGGAGATTTAATCATGCTCTCTTTAAAGCAGAAAGTAAAAAAAGAAAAGAAAAAAGAGAGAGGAGAAAGACACCTCATGTGGCCACTTAAATTTTTTTTTCTTTACTATGTTGACAAAGAAATCTTGGTCCCCTTTTCTGTGTAGAGTTAGATTATATTTATTTTTTTTAATCTTAAAATTTGCTGTCCCATAATCTTAATTCAACTTCAGGAAAGCATCCTATTTCAGAGTCTGAAAAATCCACTTAACTGAGGTGATACAACTTTCCTATGGGAAGAATGCAGAGTGCTGTGTGTGTGCTAAGGAGTCTGGAAAAAGAATAAAAAGCTATTACTACTAATTTCTACACCGTTTTGCATCTATTGGAATTGCCTACTGCCTTGTGATGTTTTGCTGAAAGTGGTTGTCAGCAATAAGCACTTTGCTGAGCATTCATTAACCACTGTTCAGCTCGGAGGGCTATTTTCAGTACAGTTGCAGAAAAAGTGCTATAAACTAAGTGGCAGCGGCATTTAATGTGGTAGGGCAGAACGATACCTGTATTAAATCAGCTCGGGTCTAGCATGAGATTTCATAGCAGTCATCTAAAAATAGCATATAATAACAATAAAAACAACAGCATTAACCCAATATGTATAGCTTTAATCTCTCACTGCTCTGCAAGGGCTGATGGGAATCTATCGGCTAATCCCATCTCAGGGCTGGTTATGGAGAGAATAGGTCAGGAAATCCCATTGCTGACCATCATTTCCAGCCGTAGATTGTTCC